AGATGAATTAATTCATCTTATTTTGATGTGAGACACTGGTTCAATTAATAAGAATAACACCCAGAATTCATCCTGTCATTATTTTAATCGAGTCAAAGAAGAAAAAAAAAATAGCAACTTCTCAGAAAACGTCTGTTATCAGCTTCTGTCAGAATAAGAGAACAAGCCCAAGTTTTGTCACCGCAGGAGCTTGGGATTTTTCCTTTACACTGTCTGCTCCATGCTGGCAGTATTTAACCTAATAGATAACAACAAGGTGGAAATCCAGGGCAAGTTTGATTGTATGAAAAGTGGGCGTGCTTTCTTTTCACTGCGACATATTTTTCTGGACTACTGATATTTTTCGCCCTTTTTCTCCATCTCCACTGCTGAGCAATGGAACAGAAAGAGAATAGCAGACAATCAGCACCTACTTACTGAAGGTTTGAAGAACATCTCTGCTCCATCCATCTCCTCTGTTGCTTGGCTCACTGACGGATAATACTGTACATGAGAGGCAGACATGCATCGGATGGATGGAGAACTGGAAACTCAGAGGCCTGGAACATTAGAAAACATATTTGGACTTTTTCTACTTTCCTCTATTAACCACTTAAAGACTCCTGCTGCGTTCAGGTTCACAATAAAGTATAAATTAACTTCAAAAATTACTAAGCATTATATATTCTAGTGTGGCCAGCTTTTAACAATAACAGTAATGGAAATAAACGAGCCTTCAATGTGTGTTTATGTAAATAAGTGAAAAATGCTCTTATGCTTTTTATATAATATTGTATAGTATTTTCACACGCTTAGCTTTGTAAAGTTTTTTTGTTTGTTTGTTTAAATAAAGAAAACAAAACATGTTTTATAGTAAAGTAAGATGCAAATTATTTCCCAGATAAAGTTTCAAAAGTCTACACACTCCTGGAGAAACTTTAGGTTTGGGAAACTTAAAGTTACATAATATCTCCAAATGTATCTAAATGTGTTTCGATTGAAAAACAACAAAAAAAAGTTCATGGTTGAAATAAAAAGTAAAACAAATATGAAATCTGCAGTGTTGTAGCTGCGTGAGTTTGCACACGCTTTGGTATTTCATAACGTTGTTCTCATTGTTTTTAGTATTTAAGTTGGAGTGTACTGAATGGAAATAATGAGAAAAGTTTCTTTTTCTTTTTCTTATAATTGAATAAAACTGAAAAGGTCGAATACATGTCAGATTTAGTATCACATACTGGATTTTTTTTCTTTTTTTTTTGGGTCTCATTTGTGCAAAAACAAACAAAACAAAAAAAACCCAGCGGATTTGCTTTGCATTTCCCTGCTGTGCGATCGTAACCTATCTGTGCTAAACTACTGATAAATCACATCTTCCCCCCCCCCAAGGCTCTTCATTTTGCTCATCGCTGGATTTTGTTGGTGCAGATCGGTTTGTCAGATAATAACACTTGGATTTTGTTGTTTATACACTCAAAGAGGATTTACCTGCTGCCACCCAAAACCCAACAGAGCCCGTACGCGTCGCAAATCCCCGTTTAACCCCGGTGTGCAACACTCCAAAGTAGAGACTCGTATCACTTTTTGCTCACGGCGCAGGTACAGTATTAGGCTGCAGAATGCAAATCCATCTTATATGAAATGTGGAGTGCTTTGACTTGGCACTCGGTGTTGATTGGCACTTCTCACTAGACAACCGCTTAAATCCAGTTAATCAGCACGTCTGCAGCAGCTCAGAAGGCCTCGGCTTTGCTGGCTTGCGTCGTCGTTTCTGAATGGAGTGGAGCCGCTATTGTCTGCCGGAGCTGCTGCTGCTGCCGCTGTCTTATTTTTCGGGGAGCATTTATCACTCGCTGTCAGCTCGCAACAGTACAACTCCGACTGCGGTTCCCCACGACAACTTTGTCCCCGAGAGTGAATGTGAATTTATGAATAAATTAAATCGTCTTCGCTAACACAAAAGCGCGCGATTGCGGTTAAAATAAATTAATAAACGAGATGTAAATGAGCGGCAACGAGCTAAATTCAGCGTCTTATGAATACCAGCACAACTTACATGGGAACACTGTGTTGCAAATGCGATCATGCGGCTTTTTAACATTTTGTTTTGTCATGTTGCGCACACGCACTCTGGTGTATTTCATTCAGATTTTTACGTAAAAGACCAACACAAGTTTCTTCACATGTGGAAATATTGAGTTGCATTCAAACCCCATGAATCAATTTTTAAAACCACTCTCTTCTTTTTTCCAATTGTAGAAGCAAATGCCTAAGGGTTTGCCTTCGCATGTCAGCTCAGGTTCTGTCGGATTGAAGAGGGGGTGCCTGCACCGCCGCCTTTCTCTGGTCTTCCCATGTGGTCTCAGTTGGAGTGAGGTCTGAACTTTGACTGAGCCACTCCGCTTTGATTCAAACCATCTTGCTGCAGCTCTGCTTGCGTGTGCAGGGACCCTGAAGCTCTTCTGCAATCTCAAGTCTTTCGCAGTCTTAAGCCTTTACGACCTAAATTTCAAATCTCCGCCTGGATATTCTTGCTTATTTTAATTGTACACAGTTCTTTAAATATCCTGTGAATAAATATATATTTTCCCATTTATTGATAACAACTGGAACGTTCAATATCTAGCAAGTACCATCTATTAAAAGCGCCCCTCAGATTCATTTCTCTCCCTGCTATGAAATTATTGTAATAACCCGATATTGGCTTGAAAGCGCAACGTCTCCCCTTTTCAGAAACCATTGAAATTTTTCAGATAGCGTAGAGTGTGACGGATTTACGGCACTGCAAATCTGGCTGGATCGCCAGCGCTCCGGTTGGTCTGGAAGGGTTAAACAGTTTTGTCTAAGGATTTACCTGTGTGGCACGTTGGACCGTTGCACCATGGCGCATTATTACGGTCATGGATGGAAACAGCAAAGGGAAGGCCTGGGCAGAGGTGGCAAAGTAAAGTCCCACTGTTGCCCCTGCCTCTGTGTCCCTGCCTGTTGAGCTGGAACTGGTGGTGCTGGGATTATCCTGGGAACTGTGGCAGCTTCCCCAGTGGAGGGGCTTGGGCCATGTTTCAGCATGATGGGTTCTTGGCTGGAGACCTGCGGTTCTCTGGGCTGAATGTGTGTCAAAGAGACCGGACTGAGCTCTGATGGGGGATCCTTCCCTACTGGCCTCCCTATTGGCCTTCCAGGGTCTTCCTCACACAGAGGGATTGCCCTTGTCTGACGAGGTAAATGTGGAAATATTCATGGGTGACGATGAATACCTCCACAAGGCACCGAATTAGACGTCTGAGAGGTGCTATGTTGAATTTCAGTACGCCGACGACCCAAAGAGGCCCAGGCGTAAACTCACTGCTGTGCAGCTGCACAAGCAAGATTATTAAAAAAAAAAAAAAAGTCAAAATGTGGAAAACACAAGTGAGTGGTCTGTCTGTCTGTGTGTCTTATCAAAGGTATTGTACAGAAGAATATTCTTACAGACGTGAACTGTTAAACGAGTCAATCCGCCTTGGCTGTCGTGATTAATTACAGAGGACTAATGCACTGAAGGGCATTGGCGTTGTGCATGTTTGTGTTCTCTAAATTTAATTTGAAGGTTTGAGGCGAGCGCACCCAGACGTCCGTCAGACGAGCTGCACCTGACGCCCTGAAAAAAAGTTGAAACCAGACGTCAGCAGTAGCTGTTCGCCGTTACGTTTTGCTTAAGGAGCAGCTGTGATCTCAACGAGCCTCTCTGAGCGCGCTGGGGCTGTTCCTTTTAGTACCTTTGCGTGAAGTTGTGTTTCACAGAGATCTCGCTTCTTTGTTTGCGATCAAAGCGACTCCGGCGTTGCCACCACCTTTGTTTCTGGGAGAATGTGAGTTGCGATCAGGCGCAGGATGAATGACATCAATTAGACGCTGATGTTAAGAGCTGGGCGATATGCAACGGTTCTGATTCTGTCTTCTGATTTATGCTCTGTTGAGTTAATTTGGGGAGGGGTTGGGGGTTATCAGCGAGCGAGGTAGCGCCAGATAGCAACCAGCGGGGCGGGAGGAAAATTGAGGCCATGGGGTTGTTGTTAAGGCAACACGGGGATCTAATGAGAAACACAAAGTTTGCAGTAAAGGTGGAAGTTCTTTATTTTCACGTGAAATAAACTTCACGTGTGGAACGATGTGCCGCAGTAAGCCCGCCGAATTAACCTCCTCATCGCCTGACTCGTTTTATTAACTCCCACAAAGAAATTAAAAATTCATCTGCTCACGTATAAAAATTAAACAAGCAAAACAGTTTGCACTGAATCCTTACGGTGCAAAACGTTTCCTCCCCAACGGTGCCGGTTAAGGAATAAGAAATGTGCTTATGCGCAGCATTTACTCACACTGTAATTTCTTACAGTCCTTTATTTTTTTTTTTTCTCAAGTAACCCAATCCTGAGTTGATGCATGGACTACAAATGCTGTAACTCGGTTAGAATAACCTAATTCCGGGTCCATTTATGGGCAACCCAGTCAGCTGAGGAATGGTTTCATGAGTCTCTGAATCACTTGGATTTGATTTGTGATTAAACATTCATGAATAAGACAATATGAGCCGTTTCTCCGTTTGCTTGTGGGGCGTTTTGAGGCTCGGACTTTGACGCTCCTCTTTCGGCCGGGGGTCTTCATAACACAATATATCCGTCCGTCCGAAAAGTGAAACCTCTCGTGACGCGCAGTGGGGAAAAGAAGTGTTCGATCGTGTTCGCTTAAATGTGTCGTGGGAGAGTGGGCTGAGACCCCAGTGAGTGAAAACCTGGTCAAGAATCACAGGAAACATTTGAAACCTGCAACTAATTGTCAATTGATTATTAAAAGACAATCAAACCCTGTTTTTAATTATTATTTGTACTTCTAGACACTGCGTCTCAACTGCAATATCCTCCTTGTATCAAACGCTTGCTTTCCACCGCTGCGTTTGCAGCCGTGGGCTTTCCACTGTTTTTGCAGGGTTTGCCTGATCCACCCTGCCGGTGGGCGTGTCTAACGTGTCTCTGCTCTTTCAGGTTGACCATCCACGCAGAGTGCCCCATGCACCTGGAGGACTTCCCGATGGACGCGCACGCCTGCCCTTTGAAGTTTGGAAGTTGTAAGTCAGCCCCACGTGTTCGAGTCCAGAGCTGAGTGGAGAGAGAGAGAGAGAGAGAGAGAGAGAGAGAGAGAGAGAGAAAGAGAGAGAGAAAATAAAAATAAAAAATCACAGCAAACAGACAAACGTTATTGTCCTGAGGAGATATTGATTACCTTTTGCTACTCAGAACTGTTTGCATAACAAACTACTTCGAGCCGCTGTTTGTAATGAACGATATGCTGTGAGGAGCTGGAAAAATAGCCATGCATTTAACCCAAGCCGCCGCTGCAGAGCCAAAGGTTTACTACATAAGGACTGAGATTTAAACGCCATTAAGGAGGGAATATTACTCTGATGCATAATAGAGTTAAAGTGCCTGGGCAAACATTAGCCAAGCAGCAAGCAGCTTATTCCAGATATATCCGTAGAACAGACGTCAGGCTTTATTGTAGTTCAGCACAGCAATAGAAGAGGTGGATTAATGTCAACGCGCACTCAGGGCATCAGTCCACCGAAAAGTCTGCAGGTGGCATTTCAGAGCAAGATATTCGCCGTAAACCTGTTCAAATCGCCGTCTGGCAGCGCGTCGGATTCACAGACACATACATGTGCTGCTGCAAATCAAGACTGCAGTCACAGCAGCAGGTCTGCACGGCCATAATTAAGGTCTTTTGTTTAGTTGGGGTTTTTTCTCTGTAATTGCAACGTCCAACCCGCTGGCAGGATTAGAAGCAGAAGAAGAGAATCACTACTCTGGGGTGGATTTATCTGAATACTTTGGACATTTTTCTTTTACTTCTATCCCGTCCACTTATGTTCAGATTTTGTTATCAGAAAGATTCATTTTCCCCCCCAAACACATCAAAATCTAATATCTGTTCATTTGTTTAAATGCAACTATTTTCACGATGCAAACAAAATCAGATTTTCTTTTTAATACGTAAGAAAGTAAAGATATTTACAGAGCATTTTAGCCTTTTTCACAGTGCCTAACTGTGAAGTGGAAGTTGAAGGACATGTCGCTTTTACTGCTTTTGCTAAATTAAATCTTTAACACGTGGCAGCGTGGGTATAAGCTTCTTTCAGTTTCATTTTTCTTAATGAAATCCTACACATGACATTGCTGTCAACCTGAGCGCCTCATCCCTGCTGTGAGACTTAGTGGTGGCAGCATCATGCTGTGGCAAAGAGGGAGAAGGACATCTTACAGCAGAGAAACCTAAATATGACGTGAAACCGTTTACGTCAAAAACGCATTCGTGTTTTACAACGGCCCAGTCAAAGTTCCTCACCTAAATTCTACCGAGACTCGTTGGTAATTGTGGGGAAAATCAAAGCATTCAATTGAATTAATAAAAACTATGCATCTGTTCTGTAGGCTGTTTCTTCCACTTCACTTAAAATCCAGCTAATATGTAAATATTGTGTTAGTAAGATAGCAAAATGTAAAATAATAATAAAGCTCGACGCCACATCGGCTGCAGGAAAGCCCGGGCTTTCTCGGCCAGTCCCAGCTGCGATGAAACCCGCTGCTGGACGTGCGTGACCTTTGAGTCCTCAGGCTGCGCCGCGTGAGAAACAATCACTGTGATCATTATAGCCGCATGGGCTCAGCGGTGCCTGAGAGAACAATTGTCACTCAGCACAGTCTGTGCCCCTGAGTCAGGAAATTTACCATAAATCCGTATTAGTGGGGAGGGATGCCGTGCAGCAGCTCTCCAGTCCAGCCCGCTCTGACCGGGTTCATCTGAGATGGACAGGAAGACGGCAAAACGCGCGTCCTGTGGTCCACATCTCTGCTCGTTTTTCGTCAAAAAGACACGATGGTTAGGAAAGACCATGCAGAGAAACTGTGCACGACTTAAATAGAACATGATCATGTGAGTGCGTGTGACTTTCTTGCAATCCAGATGTGTCTCCAGTTTAAAATGTGTCTTATCGCCGAGAGAAGAATTAGACAAGAGAGACCGTGCGCTGTTGAAAACCCGTTATTCAGTAAGAATGGAGACAAAAAATAAAAAAATAAAAGGCTGTTTTACCTCTGGAAAAAAATTGGTATCTCATCCGTACAAAACGTGATTAGAAGCCAAACAGATACAAAGCAGCACCACAGGTAACGATTTGTTTCTTACACTAGCAGACAGGCTTGTAAGTGAAGAGTTTCTCTTGCACTTTGGGCTGTTAATTAAAAGTCTTGATTAAAAAAAAATAAATAAATCAAATTGCAGTTTCGTTGCATTTTGGAAACTTTGAGAAAATCTTTCACAATAGAGTGGAAAAAGCTGTGCTAGCATGGCTGAAAAGGGAGATAGATTTCTAGAAATGAGCAAAAATAAAAAATAAATTAAATGGCTAAAGCTAGCTAGATAGCAAATAAAGAAAAAATATCTGTCACCCTGGATTTCTGATGCATAAAGAAAAGACATAATCATAACTGACTGTGAAAGAGGGAAAAATCTTATTTACACGAATATTACCACATATTCACCACATGGGCAATATGTGGTAATGTGTTAGCACATATTATCTCACGTGTGGTAATATGTGGTAACACATGACCACATATGGCCATCAGTGTGGTCGTGTGTAGTAACTGTGTTAAATCTACAGATTGCTACAATTAGATTTTGACATGTAATTCGTCTTTCCTGTTTTTTTTTTTTTTTTTTTATCTTTTCGTTTCGACTCAGATGCGTACACCAACAACGAGGTGATCTACCTGTGGACTCAGGGAGACGAGCGATCCGTCTCTGTGGCAGAGGACGGCTCCAGGCTCAACCAGTATGACTTACTGGGTCACGTCATTGGCAAAGAAACCATCAGTTCCAGCACAGGTACATACCACACGCCACGCTGTAGCAGACCAGCTGGAAATCTCTTTTTTCATTATTATTATTTCGTGCAAAGCATTAGCGCATCATGCTAACGTTTTGCAGGCAGGTCAGGCAGAATTTCAAACTAGTTTATCACATGATTCCACATTTTTAATGAAGTGAAAAAGGGTAAAAAAAAATAAATAAAAAAACACCGGATGAGTCACAGGAAGATGCTTCCATAAGAGAAAAAAAAAAAAACGGTTTTGTTTTTTTCTGCTTTTGTTCTGCCGTAATTTCATCCGTTTCATTGACGTCGGCTTCGGCCGGCACTATTTTCACCAAGCGCTCTGCTATTTTCTTCTGTCATTTCTGAATTATTTAAATTGTTTGGGTACAATGTGAAAATGATGACTGTTACCAGTTTTTCCCAGGCGAACTGCTCAGCATATTTACAAAGACAATACGAGAAAACGTGCCAGAGGTGAAGGTTTGCTCAAATGTGTTAAGGCCCGTAGCCCAGAGAGTCAGCTTTAATAATTGCTCATATTAAATGTAAATATCTTCTAGCCTAAGCTCTTCAGTGTACAAATGTGTATCTCTTCATCACACGATGGGAGTCATTTTATCTTTCACACACAAATGCTTTTATTCCAACACTAGAGGACATAAAGTTTATTACTGCAAATTAAGGCAAAGGTGTCAAATTAGCTGTGCCAACAGTGATACTGATGTTACGGTTTATGAAACATACATAATTGGTGTGGATCTGTTCAAAAGTGCCTTTTGAAAATATTCTGCTTTTTCCCCACACTCCCTGAAGTAGGCAATATGCAATCTAATCATGTCTTCTGCTGTGTTTAAAAAATGTTTTGCTGTGATCATAATAGCATGGAAATCTCTCCGTTTTCTGTGCGTTTGTATCTTAATCCTGATTAAGAGAAAAACCTTAGACAGACCTGAAGGAACCCGGGATGCAACGCAACCCTTAGAAAACGCTCAGTCTTCAGGCGATAGTCAATGACTCAGGTCAACACTCGTGGGTATAGGAATAGATTCGTCCGTGTTGTGAGGTTAGCTTGCGGTGTAAAGCAGCTGAAGGCAGAACAACCCGGTGAACCTGCTGTTTGTTAAAACCGAGATCAATTAAAGCCTGGAGTCTACTGGTGGTTTTCTCGGTGACTCATCGCAGCATCTCTATAAGGTCACAAGCAACCAGTGTAAAAAAAAAAAAAAAAAAACCAACAAATTACAGCATTTTACATTTTATGTGATATAGACCCCTTTTTCTTAAAACAGCTTCAGCTGTTGCTCCACTGGAAGTTAAAACTTTGCCTTGGTTTATATTTTCAGCCTCTAAAATCAGGCAAATCTAAGAATGGATGCTAAAAATGTTTTGTGTCATAGTTTGCAATTAACATACTCTTGATTCTTAGCAGTTTGCATTTAAATAAATTTAAATAATTTTCCTTATGGGAGCTTGGACGTACAACTTTTTCATCTCCATGGAAACGGAGAGGAGGAGTAATGAGCTCATAAAAGCCTTTTAAGAGATTTTACAGCTGGCATTAGAATATCCTTAAGTGTTCATGTTCTGAGATGAGGGTCAGCATTTTTGCAGGATTTTAAGTCTGATTGGAGCAGACGAGCTGCAGCAGCATGAGGATGTGAGGTAGAAATCTCAAAGGCTTTAATTATTATAGATATGTGAATTACTGAGAAGTTATTCAGTGCTAAAACCGGTTTTCGTTCAGTTTGTTTGCTCAAAACAGCATGAAATTGTGATAAATTGTGTCTTCGGACAGCTGAAAGCTCCTGTTCTTTTCTCCCCGCACACGGGAATCAGGATCCTACCTGCACGTTTCCACCCGGTTTAAAAAGCAGAAAACAAGCTGAGATGAGTTGCTGCATACGTCACATCTCACGTCTTTTGTCTGCGCTCCCAGGTGAATCAAAAAAAAAAAAAATCTGAAGATGAAAACGAAATCACCTTTATCAATCAATCAAATTTTATTTGTATAGCACCTCTCAGCAACAAGACATTTCAAAATGCTTTGCATCATAAAAACACAAAGTCACAGACAGATTTTGTCATGTGCCGTCGCTACACATCAGATTGTTGATTAGTGTTTCATTGATTATGTTTCAAATAAACAGGTGGGCTTTCAGTTTAGACTTAAAGGAACTCAGTGTTTCAGCTATTTTGCAGTTTTCTGGAAGTTTGTTCCAGATCTACGGCGCATAGAAGCTGAATGTCTCTACACTTGGTTCTGGTTTTTATGCATTTGCTGCCAGAATCCCTCTGCATTTAGCTCGATCCGTCTCACTATCAAACCTGAAGAAGTTTCCTCTGCATTGAGAAGAAAAACCTCCCCCCAGCATGATGCTGCCACCACCATGTTACGCCATGGGGACAGTATGAAAATTGTGGAGAGCACTTTATTTCTCTTCTTTTTTTTTGTAAACTTCACTTAAATATGTGCTATGACAATACAATAACACTCGCACAGGATTTTGACATCCCAGTACAACCACCGCTGCCGTCATGTGAAGTCTGAAAGTTTTTTTATTCGTCAGTAGAAGCACTGACACGATGCGGCGGCTTGACGTAAAACTGTGAAAAGCAGTCGGGAGGAAGACGTTGGTGCAAAGCTGATGATAAAAGCTTGCTTCTGTAAATCACCGGGAAGAGGCGCAGCTTTTTCCTCCTTTTCAGAGAGAGGTTTAACCTCGGGATTGAAGCTGTTTGCAGATGCAGCTCTCGGGAGGCGACTCGCAGCGTTTCCGGAGATCTGTCAGGTGTGACGGAACACGAACAAAAACACGCCCGTGCTTCTCTCACACTTTCAAGAGCAAGGCTCTTGAATAACCGTGCTTCTTGCCGAGCGAGAACGTCCTGCACGGTCGGTTCGACCGCGGCGGCTCTTCAGTGGTTCGAAAACACAGGGAACTTTTAGGAGCGCCTAAACTAATTTTGTTAAACTGGTTTAATCTTAAAAAAAAAAAAAAAAAAGTCTATTTCCCCCCCCCCGAGTTAGTTTCTAATGAACTGTAGAGCGGGCGGAGGGAAGTTTGAGCCTCTTCAGCCGTGGTCGGAATCTGGTCAGAGAAACCACCTCGGGGAAACGGGAGCCTCTCGTATCTCTGCAACACAGATTGCAAAAGCGGGAGTGAGAGCCAACGCTTAGGGAAAGTGTGAATCTGGCCATTCGCTGTCATCAGTGACAAATACAAACGCAGGAGAGTGATGCAGGCTCACACTCTCCACATAAATATATATGTACATATAGGAGTGGCACGAAGGAAAATGTCAGTGTTCTGTAAACGGGTTAATCCACCTGAATAACTACCGACTTGCTTGTGGTTTTGAATCTCCTTTGAAGCACGCCGCTTTCTGATATTACCCAAATGTACCAGGAGGCTTTTAAAATTCAAATTAATGTGCTGAAAATGAAAAGTCCATAAAAACATCTTTCTTCGGCTGGATGTTTTTCCCCGCTCATGCTTGATTGCACTTCTCTCGTTGAAATGGAAAAGCACACTTTTTTTTTTTTTTTTGGTTTGTTTATTTTGGGGGGTTTTTGTGTTTTTTTTGTTTTTGTTTTTTTTTTTGGCTATGGCGACTAATTAAACACATCTGAAATCATCAAAATCTCCAACAAGCAAGCTTAATTTACAAGTTACTTTGATCTTTAATTAGGGTTGCATTCAAGTCCTTTTTCACTACTTTTTTAAAAATGATTTTAGTCCGAGTTTATCTAACAATTTTGTTCTGTAACTACGTATGAAGAAAAATCTTTACAACTTGTTTTGTCTCTCTGCCTCTGTTTGTGTTTCCCCCAGGAGAATACGTAGTGATGACAACATATTTCCATTTGAAAAGGAAAATTGGTTATTTTGTGATTCAGACCTACCTTCCGTGCATCATGACAGTCATACTGTCTCAGGTCTCCTTCTGGCTTAACAGGGAATCGGTTCCAGCCCGCACTGTGTTTGGTGAGTGCCACTAAATTTGTTTCTTAATGGGTTAAGAATATTCTCGGGACGATCAAACAGAGTTTTCCATATAATGCACCGACTTCCTGACCCTTGCTTAAAGTGCCGCTGCTTTGTGAGTTTTGGGTAATTTAGATAAAAGGAAGCACATACATTTTAACAACCAGGATAATCCCTGAGGGCAAGATTGCACATTTTCAGTTTCTGAGAAAAATAAATTAAGGTGTTTTTTTTTTTGTTTTTTTTTTTTTGCAGAAACTTGACTTTTCTCAGTTTCAGATTCAGTGTTTTTGAGAGAAAATGTGCTACTTTACAAGCAACAAAACAGCAAATGAGACTATATTTCTGAAATCGTCTCATTTAATTATTTAACTCAGATCTCTTCTTAGATTCTCATTTACTCTGATATAAATACATTTGTTATTGTTTTGATGTCAGAAATGATAGGAAGTGACATGCAATACATCATAGGAGGGCATTCAAATTTTGAAAAAAAAAAAAAAAATGTCCACATTGTAAAAGTTTTTCCCAAAATGCTTGAGGGCGGGGGGGAGAAAGATTGAATATAAAAGTTGGGAAAATCAAATTATTGGGTTTAGAAAACAATATGCACAGATTTTCTATCTTTCCTACAGTTTAGTTAGTGTGTTTGCGCCGGGATTTTCTGCTATCTATCAACCAGCTGGTTGCTAGGGAACCATGCCAGGAAAAATAAAAACGCTTTTCCGTCCTGCAGATGTAAACCCACATTTTGACTTTAGCTGGATGCTTTGGTCAAACGACAAACATTTATTTACAGTTTGTTTATGACAGTTTGGTCATAAAACCTTCAGATGAGCTTAGTGTGAAAAAAACTAGAGAATATGCAGAAAAGCAGATTATGCCCACTGTTAAGGAGGATCTGTGGCACCGTTTCCTGTTTCACCAGGACATTTGAAACAGTCAGTAGGTGGACAGCAAGATAAAAGTGGGTTAGCGTTGGTCAGTTTTGGATGCTAATAAATCAAAATGTTTTCAGATCAATAGAAAATGGTTCATAGATACAAAGACTGCCTTCTGCTATGAGTTTTTTAGAGCTGCACTCTAAAAATTGTTTTTAGTTATATTTCATTTTATGGACCTATTTACATTAATCTCACTTCATGTATTTGGTTCAGTGATGACAACTTACTTTTTTGTTTTTAATTAACCTGAAAGTTAAAACACTAACTTTAATTAACTTAAAAGAAGTTTTTACTTTGACTTTACTTGAAACAATTGAGTTCAATGCCAGTTTCGTATCCTACATACCAATCAATCAAATTTTATTTGTATAGCACATTTCAGCAGCAAGGCATTTCAAGGTGCTTTACATAATTGAAGAAAAAAATAAGAACAGCATGTGACATTGAATAAACAGTAAGAAAGAGATTTTGAAAACAAAATCAATCAATATCAATATATTACGATCGTCCAACTCGGTTCATTAACAGGGTTTCCCTCAGTGTATTATAAGCCTGGCAGGCCACCAGGCTTTACTTGAGCCCCCTAAGCATTGCTTATTTATTTAATTCTTTTTAAAATGTTTGCATTTTTACTTTACAGTTGGTGTCGAGATATTAATCTTCCAATAACACATGATCATCAAGTGATATTTTCAAATTTACTGTCAACTTTAAAAAAATTTTTAACCCAAAAACACGACGGGTTTCTGGATGAATGACTGCTGAGCGTCCCAACCCCGGGCTTAGCGAGTTTTCTGAGGGAAACCTTGCATTAAGTTTATCCAACTCAATTTACTAAGTTTTTATAACCTAATTCATTAAGTTGGATAAACTTTGTTAGTTTGCGACCGAAGAGAAAAACAGACTGGAGCCAGCAGTTGTAGAGTACTCAATACTTTTCGTATAAGTTCAGTTCAGTTCAGTTCACAGCATGGCATATCAGGTCACAACAAGAAGAGGGAGAATCTCCCTCTCACCTGAACCTCCTGGCTTAATTAGAGGGGTGGAGACAATCACATTTTCAGAAAGAACAAACATTTGCACTAAACTATTCCTACAAAAAAAATGTCTACACAGCTACAATTAACTCAAGCAAAACTAGAAACAAAAACAATCTGGGCCCAAACAAAATCCAAAATACATCTCTGCTCCCTCTCAGAAAATGGGTTTTCCCCAATGAGGCTGATTGGAAACACCAGGTCCTTGTCAGCACTGCTCATGGGCGCGCTTCCATGGCAACACGTGACCAGGTGATCTCAAAGAGATGAGAAGGTGATTAAAACAAGTAAATAAATCAAACCACCTCCCAAAACAATACATCCACCCAAATAAACCAGAATACACAAAGCACACAGAAAAACAGCACCTGTTAGGGAGGGGGTAAATCCCTCACAAACTTAATTGAAAAACTTGTTACTAATTGAAGCAATTCAGTGACGTTGGTTGAATTGATTTATTTGTACGGTGTGTACCGTTCTAATTTGTTCCGATACTTGAGAAAATGTATTTCCACTGCCTTTAGTAAAGTTAAATCTGGAAACAGATTCTCCTAAATTGAGTGCTTTAGAAATCCACCAATCAGGTTCCTCCTAGTTTTCTTCTAGGGCGGCCTCTATCGCAGAAAACATATAAATAAAAACAATTTTTTTAAAAATTAATATGATTCTTGATAGAGTTAGCCAGCTTGAATCCATCAGAACATAAAATGATTACAATATATTTATTTACAGTTTGTTTTTATCGGAGAGGCGTTAGAAAATATGAAATAAAAGTTGTGATCACACTATTCAGCGTTCCTCCAAGTGGTTTTTAATCAACCATCACATATTGATCAGACTAAAGAGCAGCCTTTCTCAAAAGTATGGCGTTTATTTATCTTTTATCTTCTCTTATGGGCTTCCACCAGCTTTATGTTGTCATTAAATATTATTTGATCAATGTAGGGTTTATTATTGTAAATAACCCAGAAAATTCACTCTGCTAACAGAGCAAAATACCGTAACTAACTTTTAATATAATTCTTCATATCTACAAGTTTGTTTTTTTTTTGTTTTTTTGTCACGATTCCTCAGTCGTGTCTCGCTGAAACGGGTTGACCTCCCTGCTCTTCCATTTCAATCCTCCCCTCTGCCTTTACTTTCCAACATGTCCATTTTTATGAGATAAGATAGATTGGAGCGGAGACAGGATTGTTTTTATGTGGTTGGATGGGCAGCCGTTGTCCGCGCCAAATCTCATTCCCGCCGCCGCTAAGTGAAAAGGCTGGGATGTGAAATGATCTGTGAAATTTCCAGTTTACACCTCAGTGGATTCATTTCCCAATTAATGTCATTTTAGTAGACATGAGAGCTGCCGTCACAACCTAAACTTTCCGCTGACGTTAACGACGCAGCTCGTATCGGGCTCGATGTTACCCACATCCCGATCAAATTTGGATTTATGTCTTATTTTTATTCTTCCAAGAGTCTCGAAATGACACGTGAATCTCAATCGATTTAAGGAAGAAAATTCTTCCTTTTTTTTTGTTCACATTTTAAGAAAAGAAATGCCGTGTTGAAAATCAGACAGAAAAGTTATTACAACAATTACATGCTTGTTATTTCTGACCTTCTTTTTTTTTTTTTTACTATTTCACCAGTTTTTAAGTTTGGAAGACATTTTAGTCTTTATCTCCCTCCACAGATTCTCCATCGGATTCATGTCACAACTCTGGGCCCCTCAAAACCGTCAATATTAAATCCATTCAGAAGAAACAATTTGATAAAAGTAAAAGAGTCCTTTAAAGCTAAATCTAAGTCTTTCTGCGCAAACTGAAGTTGAGCGCCTAACTCATTGAACGTGGTTATATAATGGCACTACGACACTGTTTTTGTTTCTTTTAATTATTTATTGCAAATAGATGGTTTATTCTTTCAAAGTCCTCTCAACTCACCGCCGTAGAGGGAGGGCTCCACTTTTCCATTTATGATTTATTTAACAATTCTTGCATCAGACTTGGTTAAGACAGAATAAAAAGAGAAAAAAAACAGTGAACAATAGATGCCTTGTCACGGCGTAACGCAGTGGCGACTGGTTTCTGCTCGTCTGAACTCGATGCACTGACCCAGTGCACTTGTGATGTTTATGCGTCAGTGAACCGTGTCAGCGTTACGAAGCGCTGCGATCTGATTTGCACGAAGCAGCTTACGTAAGAGCTCCGACTTCCAGTTTCATCTCAAAGTGCAAATTGGATTAAGTTAGATTATCGTTTTTAAACGCACACTCTGAACCCGGGCTGCGACTATCTTAGTTATCGATTAATCTGTGGATTTCTGATGATTAATCAGATTTTTTGAAAAGTGAAGCATTCGGCAGAGTTTTCATTGGAGCTTTTTATGCAGTATTAGAAAATGCAAGTAAACAATTTCATTACTTTTTTAATGAGAAAAAAAAATAGGAGATTTTTATTTATTTCTTTATTTTATTTTATTTTTTTTACAGAATATGAACCAGGATTTTATGGCTCTTGAGGAGTTCTGGGTTGAACATATTTAATTAAAATATTTAAATTAATAGATTGTTCAGTTTTGACTTAATCACCGCTCTCACTCTGCTGCCTTTTTTTCGAGGTCTGTATACTCCGGTCACCGATTAATCGATTACTAAATCAGCTGACGACTATTTGAGTAATCGATTCATCACGATTAATCGTTTCAGTCCTACTCTGAACCGATTAAAAGTTACACATACTGTAAAAGGACAAACTCTCAGCTCCCCTGAACCTGTTCGTTTGTGTTCTCCTTCTGTCCTCAGGCGTCACCACGGTCCTAACCATGACCACTCTGAGCATCAGTGCTAGAAACTCCCTCCCTAAGGTGGCCTATGCCACTGCCATGGACTGGTTCATGGCAGTGTGCTATGCCTTTGTCTTCTCTGCCCTGATAGAGTTTGCGACAGTCAACTACTTCACCAAACGCAGCTGGGCGTGGGATGGGAAAAGAGAGGGCATGGAGATAAGGGTGAGTGAAGAAGCAATCGACACGCCATACGTGCATCTAACAACTGCAAGAGCATGAGGAATCCGAGAATGCTTTTCAGAAATGAGTCGGGTTTTTATTTATTTTTATTTTTTGCGCTTGATACATATCATTAACTTGGATTTTGACCTCGATGTTAAAAATAATCTTGAGTAAATCTTCAGAGTTTTGGCCACACATAGCAGGTTCCTTTTTTTTTTTTTTTTAACACAGCCTTGAGTATTCTTTAAAGACTTTAAAGAGGCCTTTTATTTATTCATTAGCAGCCAAATGGAACAGGAACACTGAGAGCAAAAGCAGAAGTAAACTCCCAGAGACGTTGGCCCTGATTTACAATCGCAGCATATGTTCAGCGCTCATTTTAAAAAGGCAGCGTGCGTTCGCTCTCGCTAAAAAAAAGACTCCATCCTTACATCTTGCATGCTGATCAGAGAGCGAGCGTGCTTCACTTCAAATGAATCACCTCAGGTTTACCCTTCCTCTCCGTATGAAAGCAAGATGAATCGCAACTCGTACGGTTTCTGTTCACCGGTACAGCAGGGGCGTTTGTGCGTTGTTTACAAAGACACACAAAAAAGAGCGAATATTTGGTAAAGTTGTGACACAGAAATACAACTTTGGTGTTTTATCACTTTTTTTCTTCTGCATGTGACCCATTTAAAGTGCTGGCTGCAGCCGGAGCACACAGCTTACTATGAATATGATGCGTAACCTGCTTTATACTTAGAGCTGCAAAAGTAGATTTCACCTCCGTTTCAGATGATCGGACCTATTTTCATAGGAGACAAGGAAAAACAAATGACAATTTTATTCATTAAGGGGAAAAAAGTGCTTTCCAAACCCACCTGGTTCGATGTAAAAGTAAATTTTTGGAGTGGCTTTGAGCGGAAAATGTTGGCTGAATCACGCTCAGTTCATGCAAAGGCATCTTCTTCAATCTGAACATAAATGTAAATAAGAAAGAGGAGTTTTTTGTTTATTTTTTCTAGCACCCAAAAATTTCTTCTTTTTGATTTCTTTGAGTCAAATTGCTTGATAAGTTTTATTTATGTTGTATTTAGTCGAATGAAAATGAATTTAGCTTTTCATTCAATTTAATTAGTTTAACTGGTTAGGGTTTAGTGTTTTTTGGACATGGGTCCAGGTTGGTTTGGGCAGCCTTTTCCTCCAATAAATATCATTTTAAAACCTGCATTTTGTGTTTTTGTCTGATCTCAAAATGAGTGTGATCATTTGAAACGTGTGAGGGGGAGAAAAAAAAAAGTCAAATTGGAAGAAATTTCAGTGGAAAAATGCCAAACAAACCAAAAAAAAAAAAAAAAACGAGCTTGGTATGTTGGAATGCCATCAAAGAGAGCTTAATAAAATAAAAAATAAATAAATTTCTTTGACAGTTTTCTGTGGTTCAGCATGTTAAGAGTCAGATGTCAAGTATTCGCTTTGATTGAATTTGCGGCGATGAAATCTCATCCGGAGTGTAAACAAACCGCCGTCCTCCTCCCAAAAACAGGATTTAGATCTACATACTTCAGTGAATAATTAATTTTGTTTTTCAGATCAGCGTCGGCCCGCCTAGCAGGTCCACGCAAAACTTCGGCGAGATGTCAGAATAAAATAAACTCGGATGCACAGGCGCGGCAGAGAAAGCTGACAAACGTGAACTTTCTCCTTCTTTGATTATCATTTCACTTCGGTGAGCATTTTTGCTTGAGCTGCTTTGTCATGTATGAACAATAATTGTTCACACATAATGCACTGCATGGTTAGTGTTTAAAGCCGTAATTAAACTTCTGCGAAGACGCTCTCTGCGATGTAAATGCTCTTTAATGCTTTATTTACGGTGTTATTTCTGTTTTCCTTAACTTTTTTACGTATGCCAGCATAAGCTGTTCTCACATTGTCAACTTGGATCCTGAAACTATATGCAATGGAGCCCGAATGAGGCGGGATTGAAGTTGTGGCAGAAATTATTCACATTTTAACAAAACCACTGAATCAAAACTTTAACACGTGGAATGATAAAACAAGACTTGCATAGATCAGGCATCTAAATTTTGAAGTTGTTTCTGTTTTTTTTTTAGATTTAATGAGAGCAGTTAATCTCCTGAGATATGCAAATAACTAGAAGCTTTATTGACCAAAATGGCTTTACGAGATGCTTGTAGAAACCAAAAAGAAAAATCCCACAGTAAACATAAACTGTCTCAGAGTCGCTGACAAAGCACATCAAAACACTTATCAGTCAGAAACACAACGGGACTCATTTCAGCTGCGACAGACTGTCACAAATCTATTTTTGCTACATATGTACAAAGTGTTTGACCCAATCAATGCCGCCTCCGCGCTTTTATTTACTTATTTTTTCTATAGCGTGACATTTGGTCCTGAGACTGACAGGCCGAGACGCGGTGGAACTTTTTAGTCAGCAGGGAGAGTTTCCCTCCTTTCTGAAGGGTGAATTTAATGGCGGCAGCCTGGGCCGCGTTCTCAGGGGCTCTGCTGAGCACGCAGTTGTCACGATGGATAAAACGGAACAGGGTCACACGGACATGCAGGCCTCTGCCGTCGCGTTCCCTGCAGATATGAGCAACTTGAAAGCAGTGGAGTTTAAGTACGCGGCCTTATGACAAATGGAGCAAAAGATTTGATCTAATGCAATAAACCGTCAGACGAAAGAGAGCCGCTTTGGAGTTTGGAGTCAGTTTGTCGCGTGGACTTCAAAGCTCCGCGGCATCCAGCGACAAGTACGCGCTCACGTTTCGTCACCGCAGACGTCAAATCTGCATTTTGTTGGGATTTTACGCAGTAGGTGAACAAAAAACAGTGCATAATTGTGATGTGGACGGACTTAACAAACAAAAATACGAGAAGTGCGATATTTCATTTGAATTTAGCCACCTTTATTTGGAAACCATAAACCTACCAAGAAGTGAGCGTTCACCAAAACCGACTGGCTGCATCACTGAAAAAAAACACAAAATCTTACCACATATTTTTTGTCTAGTTTCTAGTCCAAATTTTGTTGAATTTACTTGAAATTCAACAAAACTAACTTACAAGTAACTTTCCAGTAAAGTGCAGGAGCTTGAAATTCAATAATGTCTTGACATTGATAAAAAAATAAAAAGAGTCAGTATTAAAGAATAATTGATGTAATTGTTCCTTTACTTTGCCGAAAAGTTACTTGTAAGTTTGTTCCGTGTTATTTTAAGGGTATGACAATATTTGCATAAGAAATTAGACCTACAATACTTTTGTTTTTGTAGTGTAAAACGAGCTGGACGGAAAAGTCGATGAAAGGCGTGACAATTTCCTGGCAGGAATATTATTACTCACTCATGCAAAAGGTAGCATGAAGAAAGCCATAATCTGACGGCAGCATCATGCTGTGGGAACAGCAAAGTTGATTGGAAAACGGTTGGAGCTAATTCCAGACGCTTGTTATTGTCCTTACACCTCTCAGTTATTTTGAATTTTTTGAACGGTAAATCACGTTAAAAATGCATCGAAGCGTATGGCTGCAACATTGCAACAGGTAGTAAACATCAAAGGGCATGAACACTTTGGCAAAGAGCTGAACGCCCAGTAGCAGCAGACAATTATTTTTAATATTTGTTTTTTACATCCCCGACTGTGAGCAAACCCATGTGAAATGGTTTACTTCAATGTCGTTGTGTGCTTTTTTTTTTTACTTTCTCGTCACCTTATTTTCTGTCTGCCGCGCCGTGTGTCTAATTAGCTCTTCCATTTACAGCTGAAGGTGGGCTCGTCTCAGGAATTACAGCCTGTGGGGAGTTTTTGGTTAGAAAGGCAAATTCTTGCAGCTCTGTGACACAAACGATTGGACCCTTAGGTGAGAGAAGTATTCTGTTTGCGTCAGCACAGGCAGACTCACAAGCTGGTGCTGCAGCGGCTTTCTCTGATGGAGCCGCAAAGTGATTGTGGTTTCACACATATCTGTGCTTGCAGCACGAATCGTGATATCTAAACACGTATGATCACTTTTTTTTGTTCTTTCACCTACTTATTTATAGTTTTAGAAGGCTGTGTCTATTATTACTTGTTGTAATAAACGCCTAAATATCCTAGAAGTTTGATGGACCCGATTTTTGATTGACTGTCAGACGTTTTTCCATAACTTCGTTTTTTAAAGCTGCAGCATTAAAAAACAATACGTTTACGTTTACGTATACGTTTTTGTTAAAACTGTCACTATGTCACACTAGTGTAATATGAAACAGACAATCTGCAAAAAAAGAAAAATCTCCTCTTCCGCCTTCCTGTGGTTCTACTTTCATCAGCAGAAATACACAGCTCTGTCAGAAATGACCAGTCAGAGCCAGGAGGAGGTCCTTAGCACTGACAGTCCAACCAACCACAGCTAGGATCAGGTTCTTAGCACTGACAGTCCAACCAATCAGAGCTAGGATCAGGTTCTTAGCACTGACAGTCCAACCAATCAGAGCTAGGATCAGGTCCTTAGCACTGACAGTCCAACCAATCAAAGCCAGGAGGAGGTCCTTAGCACTGAGAGTCCAACCAATCAGAGCTAGGAGGAGGTCCTTAGCACTGAGAGTCCAACCAATCAGAGTCAGGATGAGGTCCTTAGCCCTGACAGCCATGTTTGTGTGCACTGCTCACTCCCTCTCCCCCAGACTCTGTGCTATGCTACAAATAGTTCCCTACACCGAAGCCTGCCACTAAGGCTAGTTATAGTTACTATGGCTGCCGACGACAGAGGATAAACAGTTTTCCTGACTGTTATTTGTTTCTCCACCATGAGGCCATACACGAGGATGATTGACAGCGCTGTGACCCTCCTCCTGGCTCTGTTTGGCAGATGGCAGCAATAGCACTGGGAGGAGAAGGAAAAGCTTGATGTTTTTTCAACAGATTATCGGTCTCATATTATAATGTGAAAATATAGTGACATTTTTTATGCAAAAAAAATAATAAAATCAACAGATTGTTACAAAAGCTAC